CACCAACAGCCTCACCCATCTGGACTATCACATTCGCGTCGCACGATCCTAGCGTTGCCGCATGAATCAACCCCATGGTTGACATCAGGCTGCAAGAACCCAGATCAGGCACTGTCACTCACGAACCCGTGCCACAACCCACGCTGGTGCATGCATAGCCTAGGGAGCTCCCTTCGTGTCACCAGATGAGCCCTTCGTTGGCCGCCTACCCCTATATCCAAAGTGCGCCCATCACCTCCATTGTCACCATGGGCACACAAACGAGGAAGCCGCCACCAGGACGCGAATTTGGGCCGCGCCCACTTGCTCGCCACGCCTCGTTGCAGGCATGTTTGATGTGTCATGATCCACCCAGCAGCACCTCACAGCCCCACTCGCACGCTCCCACTCCACACCGGGCACCACCCTACATGCAACAACCAGCGCCCTGCACTTTCCCCGTGCTGCATCGGTAGAGAACAAATGCCCTCACTGCCTCCTTCCTAGTGGATGGTTTGAGCTTCGTCGCGGGCACCCTCTAACGGCGATAAGAGGGGGAGAGGGAGGAAGGAAGTTGTGGCAGTTAGGTTTTCTCCTTTGAGCTTACACTATTAGTACTAATTTCCAAAAAAAAAAAATCTACATACTGGTTTCGAGGACACACCCAATGTGAATGTCATGGTGGAGGCTAATACATGTTCGTTGGTCTCCATTGATACTGCTCAGCATTCAGTCTTCTTGCTTTCACGAGGCAGCAGCATCGTAATTGTGCTTCATGCAATCTAGACGTTTTTTTAACCTCTGCCCTGTTTTATTGCGAGGAGAGGTTGCAGAGTCACATGCAGCACACACGAACAAGCTAAACAAACTCATGTGCAGATTTTCCCGCCAAGCTGGCTGCAGATTTCTTGGCTTCGAAATCCTACATAACATGACCGAACGATTTGCCCTCTGCCACCCTAAAAACAAAATTTATTTGCCCCACGCCACCGGTCATCTTTAGCTCCATCAAGAGGGAAGCAAAACACTGGTTATTGCGGGTGTGAAAAAGTTGGGTAATATCATGCCAGGACAATAACGACCTTACGTAATAATAGATGTGTGTAACAAACTCTTTTCTCCTCTCTTACTTAATGGATGACGCAAAGCTTATGCCTCCGTTTCAACAACAACAAAAAATGCATCTCAAATGTATAACTAAAGAAGTTTC